AAGACCCTGGAAACACCCCGCAGATAGATACCCAGGCACCCTGACACAGACACACATGAATTCTTTTCCCTCTCCTCGCTCTTCCAGCCTAAGCCATCTGGTTCCTTTTCCTCCCTAGGGGCTGAGCCATGCACTGGGCTTGCTTCACTCATACACATACACACACACCATACACAGACCATATACACGCACACATCACACACATACACACACCCCACATATACGCATACGTACACACACAGTACACCATATACAAATCACACACAACCCATATATATGCACACAACATACACATACATTCCCCCCCACACCATACACAAAGCACACATATACCATATATACATATTACACACATACACACATGCTACAGCATGCCCACATCACAACATACATACACCATATATACACACATCACAGCATATACATATACTACCCACATACACCCCCCCCAAGTTCCCACAGATGCTGATGGCAACTGAGACACCTGCCCCTGCTTAATCTTCAAGGATGAGGCCCCGCCCCCTTGTAGTCCCTGGGGTCTGAGGGGTCTGTGGTCAGCCCAACAGTTGCGTCCCTGTAGCTGTTCCAGATGTGTTCAGCTGTGATCCAGAGATTCCAGTGAACAATGTTGTAGTGGATTGAAGCAGAGAAACCCTGATCTGGTGGCAGAGAGCCTTTGTTGAACCTCCTACCTGTATAGACTTGTGCAGATTACTTCCCCTTTTGGGGCCTCAGTTTGTCCTTCTGTAAAATCAGGGGGCTGGGCAGGTGATCTTATGCTAAGGCCTCTTTCGCTTCTGAATCCTCTGTTCTTTCCTGCCTACTCACCACCCAGATTTAGGATGCTAAAGGAAGACTGAGAGGAGGCAGTGGGGTGGGGGCTGAGGTTGTACTTGGCTCCCCCCACACCCCATGAGTAGTCCTGATCCCCAAGGAGACCCAGGATTCTGTGTTCTTTCTCTCTTCCGAAAACACCCTGCCTCTCATTCCTCCTACCTTCCTTAGGCAAAGAAGGAGAGGGAGAGGGTAAGGGAGGGGGGGAGAGAGAGAGAGAGAGAATGAGAGAGAGAGAGAGAGAGAGAGAGAGAGAGAGAGAGAGAGAGAGAGAGAGAGAGAGAGAGAGAGAATGAGAATCTCAGGCTGAAGGTGAGGATGTCAGAAGTGCCTCACCCCTCTCTGAGCTGACTGGCCACAGGACTTCTGCCTTAGCAGTGGGTAAGACCAGGGGCAGCGCTTCTTCCCTTCACCTTCTTTTTCAAGGACTGATAATGCAATGCAATGCCTATTGCCTTTGCTACTGTGGAGGGTGTGCCGATCTGCTGTTCTATGGCTCCATGAGGAATCCTTGATTCTGAATTTTAGGCTGCCTGGGTCAAAGCCCCCTGCCATGAGCCCCACTTTCTGCTGTCTTCGGGCCCATCCATGGCAACTCCAGGCCCTATTCCAATCCTTCCTACCTTCCCATTATGCTTTCTGGAAACCCCTTTCTATTGTTAACACGGTGCCCTTCACATCAGATCTAGTAGGTTTACTCTGTATATATTTTGTATTTTCTTACATGCATACATGTTGTTTTTCCTCAGTACGATGTAAACTCCTGGAGGGCTGACCATTTTGGGTTTTTGTATCCTTAGCACCTAGTTGCTACACATTCAATAAATACTGAATCAAACCGTCTCTTGCTGGGGGAGACCTCTGACTTGGAAGTGTACCCATTTCTCCTTCCCTAAGGCAATCTTCCCAACCTTCCTCAGCCTTGTGGGTTGGGGAAAAGGGGAAGAAATGGTATAGATTGTGTGTGCAATGGAAAGAATTCTGGACTTGGAGGCAGGATTTGAACCCAAGTCTTTCCCGAAGGCACTTTGGACTTGGAGTCAGGAAAGGCATGGGTTCAAATCCTGTCTCAGACACTTACTAGCCCTGTTAGCTCAGTGACCCTGAGCAAGTCACTTCACTTGGGTTCAGGTCCCCTTTATAAAAAGTGGCATATTTCATCTTTCTGGGTCTCAGTCCCCTCATGTACAATAAGAGGCTTGTACAAGATGACCTGTGAGGTTTCATCTCTGATCTACCCATCTCAAAGGACTGTTGTAAGGAAAGTACTTTGTAAAGTATTAAAGAATTTGGAATTTTTTTTTTTGGTTTCTTTTTTACTAGGCAATGAGGTTAAGTGACTTGCCCAGGGACACACAGTAAGTGTCAAGTGTCTGAGACCGGATTTGAACTCAGGTCCTCCTGACTCCAGGGCCGGTGCTTTATCCACTGTGCCACCTCGCTGCCCCTCAGAGTATTCTTTATGCTGTCCAGATGCCCAAGGAGCTAAGGCAGCCAGCCAGAAGGGGAAGGAGAGGTCTTTAGGGTAACTCTTGGTCCTAGCATCCCCAGATAGCAGGAGGGGCCATCTCAAGGTAGCTGAAAAGAGCTGGCAGGGCACTGATGAACAGGCTAGGATGAGTACCTTCAGAAAAGAAAACCAGGTCCAGATCAGGAATGCCTTTGCCCTTCTCCATCCCCCCCCCCCAAGCTGATGCTGTAGACACCAGAGTGGCTCCTTTCACCGATTTAGATCTAGAAAGAGGCCTTAGAAGTTATCTAGTCCAATCTCATTTTACAGATGAGGAAACTGAGGCCAGAGAAGTTAAGCAATTTGCCCAAGGTCACAGAAGTAGTGAGTGGCTGAGCCTGGAACTCGAATCCGGGTCCTCTGACCCTAAACCAGGAGTTATTCTCCGATGCACGACTTATCACCTTTTATCTGCGTATTTCTGGAGTTAATCTAAGCATTCCAATTCCCTAGGAATCTTGTTTCTCATAGTTACCAGGCCGAGGGTGAGGACACCCAGTATGTGAAGCCTTATTGAAGGAGGAGAAGGGAGGCAGGCACCACACAGTCAGGTCACGTTCACATGACAGGGTGGATTTCCTTTGCTTTCCCTCCTCTCCAGCTCTTCTATTTCTCTCCCTCCTTAAACACTCCTAGCTGGGGGAAGAAATTAGACTAAGAGAAAGGCAGCAGAGGATAGTAGTGGATACAGAGCCTGTGGGGCCTTAGAGTCAGGATGGCCTTGATTTCCAACCCAGGTTCCACCAAGTCACTGGTGGCCAGGAGCATCTGCAGAAGCCATTCAAGCCCACTCAAGGCCCATCTATCACCACTGAATCCTCGAGGCTAAGTCACAGCTGTGGTTCCCTAGACAAGGCCAGGACTACAACTCCAGGCTTTCACTCAATTTCTAGCCCCATCCATAAAAACGCCCACTTGGCCTCCTCATCCTCCAAACTACAGGCCTTCCAAAAACTCGATCTGGGGGACATTGCCCAAAGGCCACCGGATTTGGAGTCAGACCTTTTACCAGACCTACCTCTAAGGGGCTCAGGACACGGAAAAGGCTGACAAGCTTTGGTCTGGGGGAAGCTGCCCCAAGCTGGAAGGAGCTCACCATATGACCTGGGGCCTCTCTCTGGACCTTAGTTTTCTCATGTGTCAGAAGAGTATCTCTTGTGGGAGTGTGGTAAGAATCAACAAAAATGAATGTAAAAGCCTTTAAAAAGTCTAGAATCCTGGACAGAAGGAAAGGATAATCATTGAACTTTAGAGCTATAAAGGCCCTTGCAAATTAATCTAGTCCTCCTTTCACTTTATAAATGAGGAAACACAGGCTCTGAGACCAGCCTGTCACACAGCTAGGGCCCTCTTCTCAGAATCATGTTTTTAAATGTATAAAATAAAAAACATACGATTGCAAAGGAAACCAACTGTGTAGAAATCAAAAGTTTTTCTTTTTTTTTTTTTAATCATGGATCCAAGGTTAATAACCCCCACTCTAGAACAACTACCAGCTAGGTGGTGCAATGGACAGAGTACCAACCCTGAAGTCAGGAGGACCTGAGTTCAAATCTGGCCTCAGACCAAACACTTGCCACTTACTAGCTGTTGTGACCCTGGACAAGTCATTTTACCCCAATTGCCTAAAAAAAAAAAAAGAACTACCTGAGTCTCACCTCATTAACTTGATGGAGACAAAGTAGTTAAGTCAACAAACACGTATTAAATGCCTACTGTGTGCCAGGTACTGGGTTAAACACTGGAGTAAGATGACTGTCCTAAAGGGCTGAGCTACAACTCAGAAATGGTATCCTTGGGACAAACAACAGGAAATAAGGGTGAGACTCAACCCTGAGCTGGAGAAAGAGACCCTGCAACAGTATCATGAAACTGTTACTTTGGAAGCCAAGGAAAGATATGCAGGAGTGTGGGGGGGCAGTCCTCTCTAAATTTGGTGGTGGTTTAGTTATTTTAGTTGTGTCCAATTCTTTATGACTCCATTTGGGTTTTTTTGGCAAAGATACTGGAATGGTTTGCCATTTCCTTCTCCAGTTCATTTTACAGATGAGGAAACTGAGGCAAATGGAGTTAAGTGACATGTCCAGGGTCACACAGCTATCTGAGGTCAAATCTGAACACAGGTCTTCCTGACTCCAGGCCTGGTGCACTATCCACTGTGCCACCTAGCTGTGCCCTCTAAATTTGGTACCCTGAGGCAAACCCCCAGTCACTCCACCCTAGTTAATGTTCTAGTGAGGGAGAGGTCTGGAGTATTAGTCTTTGAGGGTAGGAGTGGAGAAGCTGCTGAGGCCTTAGCTGCAGGGATACACCACATAAGGTGGGAAATGTGCATTAGCCATTAAGGCTCTTCATGGCCCTTCTAGCCTGTCTTCATATGAAGGTCCGTACTTTCCTTTCTGTTTCTTTTGTTTAGTGTTTGCTCTATGCCTGGATTGTTCTCTGGCCCCACACTTTACAGCCCAACTGAAACAGCAGCTTCTCCAGTAAGTCTTCGTGACACCTGTGCTTTGGAATAATTTTGTCCCTTGTAACTCGTGTAGCATTTTGTACTTTTATGATATATTTATCATCTAATGTATATATTCACGACTATATTGTGGACTCCATCAGGACAGAGCTCTTCTCTTAACTGTGTATCTCCTTCCACTTCTAGTGTTCCGCATACAGTGGATGATTAATGTTCAGTATTCGTGGGGCTTGGCTGCTTGTTTTCCCTGGGAAATGGGAAAGACTTAAGCTCAGGTATGAATACCCATGAGACCAGCTGCTCTCAAGCATCTTCCAGATACCTAGATCCAAGACTCCAAATCCCACAGCCTGGACTCCAAGATGGAACCATGTACCAAACCCAAGGTGCGCGTGCGTGCGTGCATGCATGCGTGCGTGTGCATGCGTGTGTGTGTGTGTGTGTGTGTGTGTGTATACACATTAGGCAGAAAGAGAAGGCACCTCTGAAGGGTCTGAAGCACTGCCTTCTTTCCATTCACCCAAGTTTGCAACCTTAGATTCATCCTGGGCACTCCCTTCTATCCTCTCCTTCCTCCATATCACATCAGTTGACAAATTCCATTGGTTTTACTCCTAAAACATCTCTTGAACTCATCCCTTTTCCCTACTCATGTGCCTTTTACCTTAGTTCAGGCTCTCAGTAATCTCATCACTGTTGCAATAATCTCCTTCCCATCACAACCAAGACAAATACTGCCCCCCCAAAAAAAAGAGGTAGCCCAAGGACACATCTGCACAGAGGAGGGGATGGACAAGGATGCTGCTGCTCCCCTGAAGACTAATGAGAAGAAACAGTTTCATAAGAACCCAGGGAAACATGGAGATCACCCTTACTCAACATGGCACAAGAGATGAATGATATGTACTGAGAAGAGGCCATCAGCTTTTGCAATTAATAGATCACTTGTAACTTTGGAGAAAGCGTTTCAGTCAAGTGATGAAGTTGTAAGCCAGAAGGGGCTGGGAAGTGAATATGATAGGAGAAAATGGTGAGTGTAAACAGGTCTTTGTAGGAGTCAGACTTCGAGAGGAAGACGCTGGAAGAGGATGATGGTAACTTGAGGGGCCATAGTATCAAATTAAAGTTTCATCAAGATTGGAGACGATGCAGTATTATTTGTAAGTAATAAGGAAGGAGTCAGGATTAGGAGGGACTGAATCAAAGAGAGGGGCTAATGCAAGGGGTATTCTGTTGGACATGGAGGGGATGGGATCGACGGCACTGTTGCCCCATTTGCACAACCTGATGGATGTGGATGACGTGGGGGTAATCTGCCTGAAAGGAAAAGGGCCATGTCTCCAAGGCTGAAACAATGGAGGAGAAAGTGGGAGATAATATTGAGGGGCTGTGTTGTACAGAATTGGGGAAAAGAGAGTTCAGGATTGTGGTCTTCATTTTTTTCAGTACTTTGTGATGTCCTCTACTGGAAAAGAGTGGGAAGAGGTTGTAAATAACTTGTGGAAGAAAGAGAAGGTTTAATACAGATGCTGAGAGAAGTGGGAGAGTTAGTCAAGTACCAGGTGAAATCAAGAGAATGATTTATGTGATGACCACAATAAACAAAAGCAACTTTGGATATCTCAAACTTTGAAAGAAAAAACCCTGTTTTCTATAAAAGAATCTGTACGGAACATTTCCCCGCCTCCCCGATTTCAGGTTCTCCTCTTTCAAGCCACCATCTACACGGCTGCCAAAATGAACTTCTTAAAATATACTTGACCACATCTTACAAATTTTACTTACTCTTTACTTACTCACACATTTTCAATGACTCCTTCTTGTCTCCAGGATTAAAAAAGAAATCCTCAGCCTGGCTTTTAAAGCCCTCCCCAACATGGCTCCCCACCTGCCTTGTGTCATTTCATAGGACTCTGGTTACAAATGGGAACATGAGCTAGTGCCAGCATGTTCATATTTGGGCTTCTGCTTCCAAGCACTTGCATAGGTCATCCCCACATCCAGAACCAACCCTCTCCTCACCTCCAAGTCTTAGAATCCACCGCTTCCTTCCAAGCACAGGCCCAGGGCTCGCTGAGCCCCACAAAGGCTTTTCCTGAACCTTCCCCCACCTCCCAAGTTGGAAATCTCATCTAGGAACTGCTTTGTATAACTTCCTATGTACCTACCTGTGGGCCCAAAGTTGAGGAAGATAACAGCACAGTAGGCACTCAGTATGTTGGATTGAATGGATGGGGTTGCAGTGGAGTTAAGAGGCTTCTTCAGACTCAACTCGCCTTTTTCACAGGGAGGCCTTTTGAGTTAGTGGGAAGTATGAATTTCAACCCCTAGGATCTCCCAACTCCAATCCACCCATGCCACTGCCAGAATGATCTCTTATAAATCACTCTGGTCACGTCCTGTTTAAAAGCCTTTGTGTCCCTCTTAGTCTAGTGTTATCCAGCCTTCCCAACACTCCCACCTCAGTTCCTCCCACCTGCTTTATTTATGCCTAAGCCCTCTCTGAACCCTCCTTCCAACCCTTCCTTTTGCGGTCATTCCGCTTGCCTGTTACGCTCAAACTTTCCTCTGCCTGTTGAATTTTGATTCCTCCTTTCACATTCAAGTCAAATGCCACTTTTTCTGGAAACTTTCTCTGACCCTGGATTCCCAAGACCTTTCTCTTCAGATGTTAGTGCAGAGTACTTTGCCCTTCTGCCATCCATTTATCATGTAATATGGTATGAATTGTGAGCTCCATGAAGGCAGGGCCCATATCTTATATAAACTTTGTATGCCTCCAGGGCCTAGCCCAAGCAGGGGTTTAGTAAATGCTTAAATGATGAACAAATGAACTAATCAGTGTCCCATGGTGAGGGAAAGGGGGCACTGCCCTACCCCATGAACAGTTCTTTACACCTGTACTTTTCAAAATATTTCCACACCAATTATCTCTCACTGCAAGGTCAACGTGGTGTACAATGCTGATGTGACAGATGACTCAGGCATCCCACAGCAGCCTGGCTCAGGGCAAACAGGCCTTGAGAGGCAGGGGGACACGTGTCTGACAGCCACTGACTAACATGACCTTGACGTCACTAAACATCTTTTGTAGTTCTTGCACTTCCTCGTTCACAATATGGTTATGTGGAAAGTGGATTGTAGACCCAAAAGCACCACGGAAATGCAGCAATAACTTATCCCTCTAATTCTGCAGAGAGGGAACCTGAGGACCAGACATGGGGTCTTTTCTGAGGTCACAAAGGTAGGGGACCCAGGGCAAGAGCTTTGGTCAGCCCAAGCAGAGACTAGGCCAGCCTCTGACCCACATCTTCTCAGGATTCTCCTTGTATTATGTACCCATGAGGATTCCTTCCTTAGAGCTGCTGTACTCCTTGGACCAAGTGCCCCCAGGGGATATGATGTTCACCTCCAGAAAGCATGGCCCAGAGTGGCCAAGGAAATTCCTTTGTCCCCCCTGAGGTATTCTGATCCTATCCATGAGCTACCATCTTTTGGATGGCCAGTCAAAATAGGCCAGGGAAAGGAGGAGAAAAGGTATAAAGAACATAAGGCAATTTCTCCTACACTTGAGTTCTAGATCAAGTTCTTCCAAAGCTCTTTGCCTCAGTTTCCTTATCTGTTAAATGGCAATAATACCTGCTGTTGTGTTGACCCAGTAGTGATCACTTTGAAAAATTACCTATAAGAAAAAAGTTCAACAGAAAGAAATGTAAAGGGGGGGGGACTGTAAAATTTTAAATCTTTAATTTGTTTTGCTTCCAAAATGAATGCAGATATATTTCTGTCTATCTGTATATCTGTACATATTGGGGACAGTTGGGAAGGGAGTTTGGGTGTCTGAAATCATGAAGGGCCCTGCTGGGAGGGAACCACATTGGGGCTTGGAGTGTGGTAGGAATACCCCTCCCTGATTGGCAGAGAGAGCTGTGGGGGGAGGGAGGGCAGGTGTTTCTCATGCAGTCACTGCCTTCCCAGGAATTTGGGATTTGGGGGAAGGGAGGTGGGGAAGAATGAGGTCCACTGAGGTCCTCCCCTACCACACTTGGCAGATGGATTATTGCTATTGTCCTGGTAGAGGGAAGGGAAGCAGGAGAGGAGGGGTTTGGACTGCCCAGCCCCTCCCAGGTGGTGGGGGCGCCCCAGTATTAGCAGCGGTTTGGGGTCATCACTGCGGACTTTGTGGGGAGAAAGATGGGGGTCATTCTGTCCCTCCCCTCTCCTGGAAGGGGAGTGGATGTCAGAAGAGGCCATGGGCACCAGATCGGGAGGCAAGCCCCGGGGTGGGCAGTCCTCCCCACTTCCCAGTCCTCCAGCGGGCTGACCCTGTTGAGTTCTCCCTCCTCAGCAGTGCTCCCAAGCTCCCAGGAGCTTCCCTGGGCCTGTCAGCTGTCGATGCCCGTGTTGCCTCGAGGGGCTCACTGGGGGCATCAGTTGCGCTGGTTTGTCAGCTCCTGTGAGATGAACTTTCGAAGACGCTCCAAGTATTGGCTATAGAGCTCGATGTCATTGTGCCCAGCACCCTCCACCCAAAGTGGCTCCACCGCTTTCGGGCAGCGCTCATACAGTGCTAGTCCATGGGAGAAGTCAATCACCTCATCCTCAGTACCGTGGATTATCAGCACAGGCGATGTGATCTTGGAGACCTTCTCAATGCTGTGGGGAGGGGGATAGATGGGTCAGGCTTGGTTTGGGGGTACCTCCAGGAACCCAAAATACAGACCATCCCCCCACCCCATTCTGTACCTAGATTTGGACGCTAGAACTCCCCCACTGTGGACTGTGGGGACGTTCAATCCCCAGTTTTATTGGCTAGGTCTCCCTTCTTATCACTCCACCCCCACTCCCACCCCCCCAAATTGTCTTTTCCCCCTACGGTGGCAGAAATGATAAGATAATTGAAATGTGCTGGTGTTAAGACGGTTCTAGAGCCCTCAGATGTCAACAAGTTCGATGCTGGGTTTGTAGGTAAGGAAAGATGAAGCCCAGGTCCTCTGACCCCAAGTCCACCATGCTTCCCACTGGCTTCCACTGGCTCACCTCATTTGCCCTGCCCCATACCCTGCATACGGGGAAATAATGGGGAAAAGTGCTGGGTTTGAGGCCAGCTGAGCCATGGGGTTGAATACTAGCTTAGCTACTTACTGGAGCCGTGTGACCCTGGGCAATTCATTTCTCTTAGATCTCAAGTTTCCTTATCTATAAAATGGGGATTTTACTTGCATTGCCTACTGCACACTTGAGTATGTTAATGTGCTATAGAGCCATGTGCTGCTATTATGACACTACGGCCCACCAAGGCTGTCTAGCTCAGGGTCATGCAGCTACTAAGATGCAAAACTGGGACCCAAACCTAAAGCCAGGACTCAAATATGCTAGGCGTTTCATGAGTTAATTTTTTTTTGGGGGGGGGCACTCTGCTCTGGCCACTAGGTAAAAATACCACCACCACCCCACCCTTCCAAAGAGAGCTCCAGGTTAAGAATCAGACTGACATATGGAGACCCTCAGCTGGAATCGGACTGGGCCGGGGCTTGGTGCAACTATGACGTGGGGGGGCGGGGGGAATTATCTCCAGATGTCTCAGGGCATCTAAGGATGACGGGATGCCAGCAGGGCCTCCATCTGCTTTTTTAGGGCTATGGAGATTCCCCTGATGCCAACCTGGCCAACGTCCTTTGTACTACTCACATTGCTATAGCACTTTAAGGTTCACAAAGCATCTTCCTGAGGTGCTGGAGCTGGGATTTGAACCCAGGGCCCTCCAAACCCTAATGTTGGCCTCTCTGGGGAAGAAGCAGGTCCCACCCCACCTGGCCCCAAGATGCCCTCTGTTGGGGGAATTCCCTCACTTGGGAAAGGCATCAAAGCAATAGGTCTTCTTGGTATCGGGGAAGGCAACCCTCATGCCTGACGTGAGGGGGGAATGCAGCACCACAGCAGCACACTCGTAGCGCGAGGCCAGGTCCACGGTGGGCACTGTTCCGATGCTCTGCCCATACAAGATGATGTTCTCTGGGCTGATGCCATACCTGGTGGAGAGGGGTGGCCGAGTCATTTGTTGGGCCCAGATCTGCCCTCCCCCAAATATAACAGAAGCATTGATCGAGAGCTGGAAGGAACCTCAGAAGTCATTGAGTCAACCCCACCCAGTGTCCAGATGAGGCTCAGAAAGGGAGGTCACCCAGGCCGTAAGCAGCAGAATGGGCTCCCCACAAGGCCCTCTGGACTCCAAATCCAGCACTCCCTCCACTACACCAGTCTCTCTACTGGCTTCTCCCTGCTTTAAAGACCTGGGCTCTCTTTGGTGTGGGTCCACCAGTCCATCACCAATGCAGATCAGAACTCCTCTGGGATTAGCATAGGGTTGTTGAGGTTGCTGTAGCTATTCTGGTAATAAGCCCCAACAATACATGGGTATACGTGTAAGTGTGTGCACATACACACACACACACACACACACACACACACACACACACACGCGCGTGCGCGTGCGTGCACTCTCTGCATGGCCAGCTAGGCCTGTGCTTGAAGCTTTCCAGCTTAGCAGGATTTACCAGAGTGGGAATCACCCTGAGAGCCCAGGGTTACCTCCATACTAGGAGGAGGCATCAGAAGAGGATTCTGGTAGAAGGATGATAAGAACAACAATACCCCTTTTATTTGTACAGCTTTTTAAATCTCACATAATACTTTATACCCATTTGAGGGTATGCAGAGCCACACAACTACCCTGTGATAACAAGTGTGGGTGACCTCATTTTATATGTGAGGAAATGAAGGTTTGGAGAGGCTAAGTGACTTGCCATGGTCACACAGGGAGCCAGCAAGGATTTGAACCCAAGTACCAACTCCCAGCGCTCCTCCTGTAACGTCATGATGCCTGGTGCATCCTTCCAAAGGACCAGGGGAGCTGACCCGCTTAAGTCCACAGCTAGCTTCACAGCGGCCAGAAATTCCAGCTCTTCAGACTGTTAAGACTACTTTTTATTTCTATTAATAATGATGATGATAACAACTTCTTCATATTTTATGCTGCTTAAGGTTTACAAATAAACCTTTCCTTACAACCCTATTATTATCACCATTTTACAGATGAGAAAACCAAGGCTCAGGGAGGTATCCTGATGTGCCTAGTACCATGACCATGAAGTATTAAAGCTGCCTTTCATTCCTTCCTGCCCTGCAAAGGAACAGTGGGCTAGGCAAAGGGGAGATGGGGAATGCTACATCCAAATCCTCGTTTGGAGGGCAGCGCCTCCTCTTTTCCTGTACACATCTTTCAAGGCCAGCTCAGATCCTGTTTCTCTGGGACGCTTTCCCTGACCACTTCAGCCCCCAAAGATCACGCCTTGAGCTACAGCCCTTTTGTTCGGCCAGTCGTATGTGTTGCCTCAAATGGTTAGTTGTTCATGCACGTGTTTGGGCAGAAATTTTAGGGAAGGAAATTTCACCTCAACATAAAGAACTTCCCCAACAAACAGAAAAGTCAAAAATGGAAGTGGCTTCCTCGTGAGCTCATCATTTCCCCATCAATGGCAGTGGTTAAGTGCAGGTTACACAGCTTGTATGTTGGAAAGATTAGGCAAAATCACCCCCGAGACAGCTTCCAACTTCAGTTTTCTATAATTAGGTATAATTATTAGACTGGGAGCTTCTCCAAAGCAGGGCCATGTCTTATTTGTAGGACAAAGGATGTGAGAAGTAAATGCTTGAGGACTGCCTGCCTGCCTGATGAGCTCTTTTGTGAAAGGAACGAGTCCTCTCTCAGGATCACCAGTAGGCGGCGATATTGTCATCCCCAGCTGGGGTGGAGAACATGGTTTCACTGTAACCTAGCCTGTCTTCCAAGGATCTCAAAGCCCTTGAGGAAGATTGGGAAAACCCTCGGGATTAGGCAGCTGGGGTAGTAGAAATAAATTTCTGTGCCCACTGAATAAATGGAGTGGGTAGTCTGCTGTCTTTAATAGTCACATAGTACACTGGAAAGAGCCAAATTGTAGTCATGGGACTGGGGTTCAATCCTTGGCTCTGCCACTGACTCTGTGACCTTGGTAAGTTCTTTTCCCTATGTAGGTATTGGTTTTCTCAACAGCAAAATGAGGCTAACACCACTTACTCTGTCAGCCTTGAAGGAATGCCCCAGGGACCCAATTCAGTAATGAACATGGCGACACTTTGTAACAATCAGAATGTGAAGGGTGATCATTACACGGAGGACAGTAGAGATATAATGGGGAAAAAAACGTGGCCCTTGTAGATGGGCATTCAAGGCCCAGGTCCCCCAATTACTAGCTGTGTGCTGCAGGCAGGGTACTCCACCTCTCGGGGCCTTGCTTACCTCCTTCATGAAATGGAGACGATAAAACCTGGGCTGCCTACCTCCAGTCATCTGTTGTAAGGGAAGTGCTTTGTAATAAAGTGCTATAACAGCCATGCGCATTTATGGTCACAATCAGCTCTAGGACCTGTGCTGTTGCTTAAGCTTCTATTCAGGTCTCTCAAGACTCTGAGGAGGCCTGCCAGAGATGAAGGAATTGAGCCTCTCCCAGGACCTCTCTCTCTGATTCCCCAAAGAGAAAGGTTTGAGGCTGAGTGAAAGGAAAGGAAGAGGCGTGAAGGGAGAAGATGAAAGATCCATTTAGAGGATGAAGCGCCCAGGCTAGGACCACCTGCTGCCCACCATGGATGGAGTGCCCAGGCCACCTCTATCTGGCTACTGAGTCAGCTCCCAGCTGGGGGTGTGGCCTAGGCTCTGGCACCACTCTCACAGCCCTTCATATACACCCCCATAACTACAACAGCCTTAGGGGGAACTTCTGCTGACGGTGGTGGTGGTGAGCTGGTGCCTAGGAACAGTGCCCAGCAGGTTTCCTTGGCAACGGTGGACTTGCCAGCCTCCCCCACCCTAGTCCACCCTCAGGCTCCAATTGCCAGCTGCTGCTTCCCACCCTCTGCCCCCTTGGGTCCTGGGAGCTAGTGGAACCGGTTGGGGCAGGGGGTACTTCCAGCCTTCAAGTTGGGTGCTCAGGAAGGGCAGGGCACTGGGTATGCTCCTGCTGGGGGCTGGGCCCAGGTAGGGGAGACTGGAAGGGGGAGGGTCAGAGAGAGGAAGCGATTTGGAATCCTTAAAGGCGCTCATGGGAAAAGCAGGAACCTGACTAGCTCTATTTTTTCCACTCCCCTCCCCACCCCACCCTGCCCTCAGGCCGGGAGATTCAGTCTGTGAACTGGACACTGGTAACTGAGAGTAAGGAGGAATCCAAACTGACAGCCAGAAAATGAGATCCAGAGTAACCTGCCAAGGTCTCACAGCTAGTAAACAGCACAGCGGGGTCTGTACCCAGACCTCCAAAACTCAACTGCAGCAGTCTTTCTACCATGCTGCCTCTCTCAGCAGCTATGCTGAGGTAGGTAAAGCCTGCACAGGGGAGCCAGTACAATGGGTTTAAAGGCAGAGGTCCTGGGTTCAAATCCTAGTTCTCCTTTTTACAACCTGGGTGACCCTGTAAAATGAAGGGGCTGAACCAGATGGCCTTCTAGACTCCTTCTAACTCCAAATCCAGGTTCACCTACAGCAGAGGTTCCCAACTTGTTTGGCCTACTGCCCCCTTTAAAAAAAAATTAGTTAGCAGGCTCCCCCCACCAAAAAAAATCTTTCTTTAACCCTTTAATGGTACTTTTGAAATTTGCATCATTTCAAAAAAATACTTACCCCCCTGGATTGTTCCAGCACCCCTCAGGGGGCGGTATCACCAACTTGGGAACCTAGACCCTAGACTCTGAACAGACAACCCGGGAGTCACTCCCAGCAGAGGGAGTGGTGAGACTCTGATCTTTTGCAGTGGCCTCTTCACAGGGGGGTCAGCTGATTTTCCCCCCTCTACTAGCCCTGATTATGCACCTGGAAGCTGGCTTTACCTGCAAAGATTTCATTAAACATTGAAGGTGTGAACTAGAAGGGAAGACCTGGGTTCAAATCCTAGCCTTACTGATTACATATGGAATTTAGGGCAAGTTACTTCTCTAGGGGCCTCAGTTTCTTGCTTTGAAAAAAAAATGAAGGAGCTGGACTCTCTCCATATATATATATATATATATATATATATATATATATATATATATGCATACATATGTATCCTTATAATACTAATAAAAATAACGAGATTGACCATTGACTAATATATTGATTTTTGAGGTTTGCAAAGTGTATGACATCACCTGAGCCCCACAACAACCTGTGAGGTAGGAACCTCAGGTACTATTATCCATTATGCCCATTTTATTAGTGCGGAAACTGAGGCTCAGCAAGGCAAAATGATTTGCCCATGGTCATTTGGTCGGTTGGTCAGTCACATGGTGAGAGATAAGATTTGAACTCAGGCCTTCTTGATACCAGGACTTCTACTACTACTACTATACCGTACTGCCAGCTCTAAAGCTCAAAGTACACTGACTCTACCAAGTCTGTGCTCAGGCTAACCGAATTCCTAGCCTCAGGAAAAAAGAATCCTTGCCCTAAGGGGGCCCATCCTCGAGCTGGAGGTTGGAAAGGATGCCAGTGGCCATCTGGGCCCTCCTACACCCAAGGCAGCACCTTTCTACACAGTCCTCCCAAGTGGGACCCTCCCTCAGTCAGCCCATTCCAGTGGGTGGGTGGGTGGGGGTGACAGCTCTTCAAGCTGGCCTCTTTTCAGCTTCTAAGCTGTTGCCTTCCTCCTCCAGCAAACAGCCATCCAAATCCTCGAAGGCAGCTATGTCACCCCGTGTGAGTCTAAACACCCCTGTTCTTTCGACAGATCTGCAGTCAAGGCCTTCCTGTGGAGTACTGATCCTCTTCCTCAAAGGTGGCGCCCAGAAGTGAACCCAGCACTGCAGGACGTGGTTTGACCAGGAGCCAAGCACAAGGGGACCCTGAGCTCCCGGCACCCAGACCCCACGTCTCTCCTAAAGTAGTCCAAGACTACATTCACGCTGCCGGCTGCTCATGGTAAGCTCAGAGTCCCCTAAAATCTGTGCTCTATCTTCAGATGAACTGCAGCCTAGCCAAGCCCCTCCTTCATCCTATACAATAAAAAGGTGACTTTTTGAACCCGAGTAAAAGGCTTTCTGTTATCTCTAGGCTACATCATCCGGTGTAATTCCACCCACTGTCCGGGCCTGTCAGGATCACCTGACCGTGTCTTACAGGGTGCTCACGACCCCTCCCAGATCCATCACCCACAAATATGATGAGCATGTTGTCCATGCTCTTGTCTCAGGAACTGATGAAGCTGTTCAACCCGGAACTAAGAACAGATGAGAAACCCTACCCGAACGGCCCTCCAGACTGCCTCCAAACCTCAGCCAGTTCTAAACCCATCTAACTGCTGTCGCCCGGCCCACATCTCGCCATCTCTTCCAAGAGAAGAGCATGAGAGACTCTGTTCAATGCCCTGCTTGATTCCCCCTAAGCCCGATCTCTCATTCCCCTGATGGCCCAGTTTGGGAACCAGTGAAAAAAGGAATAAGGTTAGTCTGGGAGCGTACCAACTGCCCTGCTGTCAACTTTCCTCTCACCACCAGGAGCCACGCCCATCAGCAGCATCTCTAGCAACCCTGCCCCCAACCCAAGTCTGGGAACTCGGGGAAACCTCCCCTCAAACCCTCAATCTAGCCAGCACCGCCCAACGACACATCCCAGGAGGACACAGAACCTAGCCAACACGGGGATCTCACCAACTGTCCCACCATCAAATGCACAATGCAGCCACCATTTTCCATCATTTACTTGAAGAATAATAAACGTTACCATTACTAACGGGAAGAGCATGACAAACTACTTCCTTATGGCTCTACACCTAATTTCTATGAGTCTAGGTCACAAACTGCCTAGATCAAAGCTGCCTTATCTGGCCCCCGACTTTTCTTTCTTCATACCCAGCCATGCCAGGCCTGAGCCTCCAGGGTCCCTAACCATCTCTTCTACTGAGCCAGCCTAAGCTGATTATATTTCACCCCTTCTCCTTACCTGCTCTATTTGGCCAAACAGGCCTATGTGCTGTTTACTCTATGGGACATCCCATTTCCAGCTTCTACTGGGGATGTCCACACTGCCAGGAATGTTTTCCTCATCTCTACCTCTTGGAACTCCTAGAACTTCTGAACTCCTAGAACTAGAATTTCAGGCTCTTCAGCTCAAAGGCTACTTCCTTCAAGATATAGATATCCTTCATTTCCTTATCTGTGAACAAGTTATATCCTTCTAGTAAAATATAAGCTTCTTAGGACTGTCTCATTTCTGAATTTTTATTTTTCTGGGAACACAGTAGATGCTTAATAACTGTCTGTTGATTGACTGGTTCTCTGTGATAATAGATTTCTAGATGTCCACTAGCTATATTTTTAATATGGTTAACACATTTAACTTAATAATATATACTTTAATAATATATTCTAGAACCTTCCCGGAAACCAAAGGCAATCAGGAAGTCAGGCTTTCTGGCCTGCAATTTGTAAACTCTAGTCTCTTTTTTGAAAATGGAAGCAGTATGTCCTTTTCCAACCCTGAGGTACCTCTCCCTTTCTCTATAATATAAAGTAGCATATACACAACACAAATTTAATATGTGTTGTCAGAGTTTAGAAGAAGGAGGACACAATATAGTCTGAGATGTTCAGGGACAACAAGGACTTGGGCCCAACTTGAGGTCGGTAGGGTTTGGAAGAAGACAGGATGGAGAGAGTATTCCAAGGCAGGGGAAGATGTACAAGGGGGTGGGAGTCAGGATGATGCTGGTGATTAAGGGACACATGAGACCAGCATGGCTAGGGTACAGCATGGTGGGGTGGGAAGCAGTACCTATCAGTTTGGGGCTGGGAGAAAGGCCAACTAGCTAGAATGGAACAATGGATTAAATCCTAAAAGGTATTAAGGGTGGAGAAAGAAAGATAAGAGGCAGCATGGTGTGGGGAAAAAAGAACCAGATTTTGAATCACCAAGACTTGAGTTCAAATCTGCAGTCTGCTAGCTACTAGCTGTTTGACCCTGGGCAAATCACTAAGTTTGCTCCTCAGCTCCTTGAAAACAACTCCTCTGACTGACTCCGCAAGCTGGGAGTCAGAGTGTTCCTGGGGCAAGTGGTGTTCCTGGCAGTGTAGCCCTATCCTGGCTCTGCTCAGTGATCTGGGGTGCCCTCTTCTTCCTGCCACCCCACAGGGGATCCTCCCTCCCTGGAGCTCCCGCCTGCAGGCACTCACCTGGTCCGAAGGGCCTGCCAAGCAGCATCGATATCAGCATAGAGATTCTTCTCCGAGGGTTTTCCTGAGCTCACCCCGTAGCCTGAGTAGTCATAAGAGAAGATGTTGCAATTGATGCGGGTGCCCAGGCCAATGTAGAAGCTGCTCATCTGGCCCAGGTCCACTGCATTGCCATGGGAAAACAGAACTGTGAACCTGGCAGGGATGAGAAGGAGAGTCCTGGTCACTGCAGGCTCCTGCCCTTCAGGAGAGGCACTGACCTGGAGCAGAGCAGACCTGCTACCCACCTAACCTCAATGCCTCCAAAGACCCAAAGCAAAGAATTCACTTTCTCTGGCAGCTGCTCTTCCCCCTCAGCACTTTCAGCTCTTACGGGGTCCCAAAGACAAATAAGCAATTTAAAAACCTCCCTAACCAAGCCCGAGGAGCAGGTTAGTAGGTGTCAGGAGGTGGCTGGCCCAGACATGTGCCCCACATCCAGATGCATGCTGGTTATCAGCGTAAACAACAACGACGACTCCAGTCTGTAGGCCACCTCAAGGTGTACAAATCTTACTTTGCCGTGAGATAGTACAAGTTTCACTATAGCTTGGGAGGCAACTTACGTGACTTCCCAAATTCCGATAGCCAATAAGTGGCAGAGCTGAGATTAGAAGATAGGTCTGCTGACTCCAGGTCCCACCAGCTAGCTGCTTAGGCATGGATTCTCTGCACATGCGCACACACACGTGGGCACACATGTATGTATGACTGAGCTACATGCCACTGGCCTAAATGTATCCACTGCCTTTCTCTCACTCATCACCATAAGCATCTAGTGCCCAGGCTACCTGCCAGCTCCCCTCTCCATATTGCCAATTCAGTTTCACCAACACTGATTCAGCACCAACTAAAAGAAAGGGAAGGAAGAAGCCCAGGGAGTCTGGGACACCCCAGAAGGTGCCAGTGCCCTATCTGGGACCCAGTGTTCTTCCTTATGTCTTGTTTTCTTCTGTTCCCAATCAGGCTGGACTTTTTCTCTGGCTGCTGGGGCCGAAGCCAACTGGCTAGGACCAATCCTGGGGACAGGTCTAAGGGGATGGGAGGGCCAAAAGGACTCCAGCATCACTGTAAAGAGAGAGCCTCTTCGAAGGGGCATGTTGTCCCAGGAATAGGGGCTGCTGCTGGAGTCTGCTCTGGAAGGAATGGACTGGCACCGACAGAACTGCCTGCTAAGTGAGTAAAGCAATCCCACCAAGGGAAAATATGTGACAGAAAGAGCACTAGATCAGATGTAAGGACAGAGAGCTAGCTCTGGTCTTGGCTTGGCCCACTGACCCAGGATTTGGCTAGGCCTTAGTCTGCTCCACTATTAAAATGGGAATATTCGCATTACTATTGGTATGTGACTTTACAAGGTTATTGTGAGATTCAAATGAGATAAGAGCTATAAAATGCTGCACAAATGTGCCCTGTTCTCTCCAAGCCTCCGGCCTCTCGTGTCTCAGCACGGCTGCCAAAACAGTCTTTCTGCGGCACAGTCCTGACTAGTCAGTCCTTTGCTCAAGAACCTTGGGTGGCTCCCTATGCCTGTGAGATCGAAGCTAACCCCAAGGCTTGGAACGTCAGGGCCTCTCCAATGGAGGGCCGATCTACCTTTCCAGCCTTATTCCAGTTCATCCCCTTTTTACCTAGTCAACGTTCCAGCCTGGAAAAACCTCTCTGTTCTTTGAAGGCTCAGCGTAGGGGCTCGTCTCCTTCACAAAACCTTCTCTACTGCCACCAATAAAAGCGATCTTTCTCGTTAGATTTTCTTAGAATCATCTTTGTATTTCTCTTCCACCCCTATCATGGCCTCCCTTATAGGGATGGGGCTTGCCCTGTGATATTACTGGTATAGTCAAGTCCGCACCTCAGTAGAAAGCTGCCTGGAGCCCTGCAGTTAATGAAATGACTGGACGAGGGTTACCCAGCAAGAGTGCGCCAGAAGTAGGACTCAGACTCAGGCCTTCCTGGGTGGCTCTCAGGCGGCTGCGCCTCTTCCACCTTGTATCACGCCCATCTTTCACCCTATTAGAATGTGAGTCTCCTGCATAAAAGGCCCTGAGCCAAAGTCTTCAATTTGTTGACTGCGGAAGGCTTTGGCAAAATAGAAAGCTCTCTAAAAATGACCAATAATCACCGAGAACTTCTGAACCTGAATGCCCAGCCTTGGCTCACCCATTAACTAATGTGAGGCCTTCATTTGAGCTAGGAGAAGGTAAGTGATTTGCCCAGGACCCAAAGCCAAGTCTCTCCGTCCCCTAAAGGGGCTGGCTCCGAGACACCCACGTGCAGTGCACACACACAACGTAAACAAACTACGGGCCCCCAGCGCATCCCTCTCCTCCTAGAAAAAGCCCACGGAGCCATGCCCCAACACTGGCAACGTCCATCAGGTACCAAAAAGGGCAACAATGCCTGAAGGGGCAGAGGGAGGGCAGAGTCCCAAGGCAGAAGAAACCAGTGCCTTGGATGAGTGACACACATCTTTTATTAATAGAAACACTGACTAATGCTATGCTCCATTGGTGCCCCCATCACAGGGCCAGGCCAGATGCCACTCATCAAGTCTTCCTCACACCTACAAGCTTCTAACCAGAAAAGCAGGTGCCCGGGCCTTTCTGGGCATCCTCATCCTGGCGTAGATAATTGCTAAGCCACGGGCCTCAGCTTCTTCATCTGCAGAGCAGGACAACCCTACCTGCACTACCCACACTTCACTGGGTTATTGTTAGGAAAAGACTTTAGAGAAATGTGAGTTACTTTACCACACGTTTTCAAACTGAATGTTTAAAACACATACATACACACACCTTCAATGAGGGTTTAAAGCAAGAAGAAGCCAGCTCCATGGAAACCCCAAATGGCCAGAAAAGGCCCCAAAGCCAATCAAGGCTGCCAGGCTTTCTTGAGGACACTTACCTGGCCCCTGGCACACAGCGGACATACATACAGGAAATTCTGTTCCCCCGACTGCTCTTGGTAAAGAAGACTTCAGTCGTGTCTAGATCACGCTGTGTATACTGGAAGTCAGCTCTCTCTGTCAGGTGCAATTTCCAGCGGCCCAGGGCCCCCCCAGAACCCCGCCCCGGGGTGGAGCCCCCTCCACTGGAACCCGGCTCGGGCTCGGCCACAAGGGAGTAAGTAGGCTCTGGAGGCAGGAAGGCCAATTTGGCTGCGATTCGGCCAGGACAGGGTGGGCAGCAGAAGAGGCAGCAGAGTTCGCTGATGGAGAGGCCGTTCATGGCGAAGAGAGAGTCACGCTTCTGTGAGGGAGGACCCCAGATCCAAGGCTGCGGGGATACAATGTCTTCAAAGCAGAATTTGCTTTTTATTTTTTGTTTTCCAAAACACAAATGGGAAAGACTGTGCGGTGCTTCCCCTCAGCCTCCACCCTGTACAAAGTGCCTGTTAGGAGAGCTGGGCAGGGAACCATTGTGGTCCGAGCCCAGCCAGAAGGGGCACCCGGGCCGTTCTCCTCCAAGCTCCGGCTAGGGAAGGCCTGTGGGGCAGAGGAGGAAGAGAGGAGGCCATGAGAACAGTGTCCGAAAAGACGCACTATGCCCAGGGTGCTCAAAAGCCCAAACCCAGGCAAAAGCAGGAGCTCTTGGGCTCTTGTCTCCCACCCGGGTGGCGATGGCAGGACTGTGAAGGAATCCGGAGGCATTCACCATCCACACAAGGAGACTAGGGGGAAATCTGGGGGAAGGAAAGCAGGAAGGTGAGAGCTGGCACACAGGAGAAAGGGTAAGAATGAAGCCTTGGGTGACTTCAACTGATTAGGAGCAGAACAGAGGCTTTCGATCTAGAAGGGGCCTTATGACAGAAGGGGAGGCTGAATTCCAAAGGGAAGGGACTTGCTGGAGATCACAAAGGCAATTAAGTGGCGGAGATGCAATTCGAACCCAAGTCCTCTGACTCCAAATCCACCACTCAAGATCTCCCCTGCCTCTGAGCAGCAGTAAGCTCACAGGAACTCCTGGGGGGTGGCTCTGAGCTAAGGGAACTCCATTACACCCTCCTGCCTCAGCTTTCCAAATCAAGCAATGCCTGCTGTTTAGAGACCACCCCCCCAAGTGCCCACAAAACAACTAGCACAAAGTAGGGAGAGCTTCCCACAGAGAAAGCAAGAGTGTTCAGCGCCAGCAGACAGATCTGTTACATCTACCTGACAGAGATATCGCCCCCGAACATGCCGCATCCCCCAGATGTCCAACACATTGTACTCTTCACAACAGAGACACGCACCTCATTCCCAGATCGATATCCTCACAAACACATGCTCACAACAGCTGCACACAGATGGAGCCACACTTTTCCTTACACAAACATACTTCCTCAAACACACATGCAAACGCTGACATATTATTCAGCTTCCATACGTATCTCTCATATGCACGCATTGTACCCATTCACACTACATGCATCTCTTTCTCATGCACACACAAACCACAGAAACACTGATCACTTTTCCTCACACAATCTGCCATGTAGATTGCATAGAGCTCCTGCTCACAAGCAGTCTCATACCTAGGGTACTTTTTTTCTGTCATAAACACACACACACACACACACACACCACACACACATCCATACAGGTGCATACACAGGGCTTCTCTCCCACACATATATGGCTGCCCATCACCTTCCCCTCACCACACACATTCTTATAACACTTCACATGATGTACACAAATCTCACAGGTTGTATACCCACATACTACATATACCATACACTATACCTTATACATATATACACACTGTGTCCAGGCTTCATGAATACTGTGAACTGTACCTCTTATAGACATACTGAGCACATCTCACACACACACACACACACACACACACACTTGGACACACTTACCTCTCCTGTACACTATGTCTCTCACATACTGTTATATACTGTCACTCATGATGTCACTTGGCCTTTTCTCTGTCATACAGCCCCTATAGCATCACCCATGAAATCTCTCCTACAAGCCCCCTCTCCTCACAACACTCATATAAAATCACACACAATCTCTCTCAAATAGGGTCTCCCAGCCACACACTCACTCTCAGGATCTCACAATCACATATAACTTCCTGGTCAGTTTTACATTCTGTCACACACACTGTCCCCTATAGTCTATCTCTTACACAGAGCAATTGGCACAGTCTCCTTAGACAACTGTTTCATATACATGTATCATCCCACAGTGTGTTTGTCGCATACCCAGTGTTCTACACACATTGTGTATCACACGCATTGTATCCTGCACAGACTGGCAAACGAGCTCCTGGAGTCTACTACACAACACCCAGGGATTTGCACACAGGGCTGCATGCAAGCAGTGAGTATCACACACACCCTGTGTCTGTTCACACAATAAATGTTACCCAGTGTGTGGATCACATACCCTGTTTCTCTCTCTTTCTCTCTCTCTCTCTCTCTCTCACACACACACACACACACACACACACACACACACACACACACAGAGTCCTATTGAACTGTCTGCTGCCCAGCTCCCTGCACCACACACACTGACACTCTGACACAATGTCTTCATGTCTTAATACACATTGTCTGTCACACACAGCAATGCATTGTTATACAATGAGTGTCCCACAATGTCCACCCCACGTCATGCTGTATCCTACATCCTGTGACATTCACAGGGCCACACAAATGCAGCATCTCGCAGTCAGTCAACAAGCATTTATTTAAAGGTTCCCTATCTAGAAAGCACTGTGCTAACTTAGGCTGGAGATACAAAGAAAGGCACAAAACAGTCCCTGCCTTCAAAGAGTTTACATTCTAATAGGGAAGACAATGTGCAAACACATACCTTGCACGAACAGTAGGCATGTACAAGATACATAAGGAGTAGACAGAAAGTGATCACTTTCTGATCTCGGAGAGGAAGGCCCTAGCAGCTGGGGGCACCTGGTAAAGGCCTCTCTGGCAAAGCCCAGAAAACCAAGGGGCAGAGGTGAGGAGCCATGGAGGACAGACCGCCAGGGCAAAGGCTGGGCAGCTAGGTCCCCGAAGCACCACCTTAGAGCCAGACCACCAAGGAAGGAAGGGGCCCCGCTTGTTAAGCGCTTTCTTTAAATGCAGAACCAAACCCGTTTCTACGGGATCCTGGAGCTGCGGGGGGGGGGGGGGGGGGGGGGACGGCTGGACCAGACCGGGCCTCCACTTCAGAAGAATCACAGTTTCTGACACATAAACAATGTCCTGGTCACAGTCCGTGTCTCACCCCCCACGGAGCTCCTCGCATGCAGTGTCTCACACACAAAGTCACACAAGGAGTGCCTCATCATACGCAGTGACTCCAAGCCGTGTCTTGTCCCACAAGGAGCTTGTCACCAGCGCTGCCTTACACACCCTGTGATACACCCTGCCCCGGATTGGCCTCCAGGCCAGCTAGGCAATAAGCATTTATTATGCACCTACTGTGTGTCAGGCACCATGCTAAGCGCTGGGGATCCAAGGAGAGGCCCATGGGTCCAGGGCTGTCATGCTGGGCTGCGAATACTAGGGGCGGACGACCCCCCAGCCCGGGGCTACCCCTGGCCATCGGGGTCTCCCTGTCCCACAAGGGAGGGCCCCCCCACCCCTCGTGGGTCGCGCACTTGGGGCTTTACATGTGTCCCACCTCGCCCTGTCGCTGGGACACGAGGGGGGGGGTCCTGTCCCGTTGCCCCCCCCACCCGCCCCCATCTGTCTCTCCGTGTCACACTCTCACACTCCGTGCGTGTCCCCGGGGCCGCGGGGCTGTCCCGGGGCAGCATCCGGCGGCCTGGCCTCGCGCCCCCAGCCCGGGAAACGGTCGGGTCCGGCCGGCCCCCCTCCCCAGCCCTCGGCCTGGTCCTTCCCCCGCTGGACCGCTGTGGGGAGGAGGAGGAGGGAGAGGGAGGAGGGAGCCCGCCCCCAGGCTCGGCCGCACTCACCGCTCCGGGCCGCCGCCGCCGCCCCCGCCGCGCCCCCCGGCCCCGCGCTCCATGCCCGGCCTGGCCCCGATCCCGCCCCCCGGCCCGCTTCGCTCGGCTCCGGGATCCAGCCGCTCTCGCCTCACTGCTCCGGCGGATGTGGAGGTGAGGAGCTGCCGCCGCTCCCCCGCCCGTATCCCCCCCTCAACCTCGCTCCCCAGGAAGTGACGTGTACGAGGGCGGAGTCTGATAGAGAAGGGCGGGGCGGGGCGGAGCCAGAGGGAGGTGGGGAGGGGAAGAAACCGAGAGGAGGAAGGAGGAGAGAGGGAAAAAGGGGCGTGGAGGGGATCACTGAGGAGGAGGTCTGACGAGAGAGGAGTAGAGGGCATTCAGAGGGAAGGGGGGAGGGGAAAGAGAGGGAGGGGGAGGAGGGAAGGAGAGAGGATTTGGGAGGAAAGAGGAAAGGAGTCAGTAGAGAGAAAAAAAGAGAGGAGGGGGTCAGAGGGGACAGGGAAAGAGAGGAAGGAGGGGAGGAGGTCAGAAGGGAGAGAGGGGAAGAGGAAGGAGGGCGAGGGTCAGAGAGAAGGAGGTCAGAAAGTGGAGGTCGAGGAAGGGAGTCACTTGAGAAAGAAAAAGGAGAGGAGAGAGGGGTCAAAGAGTAGAAGAGGAAGGAGAGAGGAGACAAGGTAGAAGGTCCCTGAAGACGGAAAAGAAGTGGGGAGGGAGAAAGTGGGAGTTAGGGGACCAGGGAGTAAGAGAACAAGTGAGGGGAGGGGGAAGGAGAAAAGGGTCGAGCAGGGAGGCAGTCAGAGGACCTGGATGTAGAGGAGGGGCTCTTAGTGGAGATAGTAGGGAAGGGGTTAGAAGACAAAGGAGGGGAGAAGAGAGCTGATCAGAGGGGAAGAAGTCACAGGACAAGGGGATGACAAGAGGGGGCCAAATGGGGGTGGGGGGGAGGGTGAGAAAGAAAGAAGGGTCAGGCAGAAGTCAGATTAAATGGCTTCAGAGGGTCTCCTTCAGCTCTGAGATTCCATTCACCCCTTTTTCATTTTTTATTTTATTTCATCATCTAAGCCCAGGCCTGGTCCAGAGCCTATAAGAGCTCCCAAGTTACGAGATGATCATCATAAAAGAGCCTGAATCAATATCAGGCCATAGAATAGAGTTAGAAGGAGCCAGACAAATCAGAGGTAAGCTCCCCACTTCCCACCCCCAAATGCTACTTAAACCCATTCAGCAACCCCCACAAATGACCTCTCCCTTCCCTTCCCAAGCTGCTTTTCTCCCCTTCCTCCTCCCCCCTAACTTCTCCACTGGTCCCTTCCTCCACTGACTCCTCTCTCCTCAGTTCTCCAGGGACCCAACCCAGATTTAGAATCATACAAGTTTAGAGAAGCTAAAGGAGATCTTAGAAACCATTCAGTTCAACCCTCCTCAATTTACAGAGGAGGAAACTGAGGTCCAGATAAAGGGCATAATTAGTCTGAGGTTGTCAGCAGGAAGCCAGCTCTGGCACCCAGGCATAAAATGCCTGGTTTGTGGGCAGACTCCTAATGCCCTAGGCTGAGTGGACCCCTGACTGAGGTGGAAAGACCCAGACTGGTGTTACACGGTATAGGCTGAGATCTTTATCTTTGGAGAGGATACCCACAATGGTGAGATGACTGAACTGGCCAAGAATGGCAGGGGGCACTCTGCTGGGAGCTAGAGGTATAAAGACAAAAACAAAACTGCCCCTGCCTTCAAGGAGCTTCAATTCTCCTGGGAGATGATACAACTTGAGCACAAGTAGGTAAATACAGAGCACAAACAAGTGATACAAAGTTGTTTTAAGAGGAAGGGAACTCTAACAATGGGAGAGAGGGTAGGTGGTAATGTAGTAGAGGATAAAGAAACTGGCCTTATAGCCCAGAAGAACATGGTTCAAGTCCTGTCTCTCACACACATTGGCTGTGAGACCCTGGACAAGTCATCTAACTTAGCTAGGCTAGTGGTGTCAACTCAAATAGAAATGGGGCCACTGAAGAGTATATAATAGGATCCTTGTGGGCCACATATTGACTTAGAAAACTACATATTAATATTATATCTTTTTTTTTTGGTTGCTAAATATTTCCCAGTTACAGTTTAATGATTTTCTGGCCTCATTCAGAAGGGACTGTTGCATCTGCAGACCCCACCCCCCACATACAGGTATACATGAAACACATATGAAGCAAAGGGATGGTAAGGGATGCTATGCTAAGTGCATAAAGCAAGGGCCCCAGCCAAATACACTGGGAAACAGGCAGCAGGGGGGAGGGATGTCACCTGGGAAGGCTTCCTTTGGAGGTGACTCAAATGCTAGACCTTAAAGGGAAGGAAGATCTCTGAGGCCGGAAGGGACATTAAAAGCCAGGGAGTCCCCTGGAAGCCAGGAGGGGACAGGGCTGCTGAGCATGGCTTCAGGCATGCTGGGGAAGAGGAGGGAGGATGAAGGGGAGAAGGAGGAGTTAAGGCTGCAAAAGGAAGTTGGGGCCAGCCCGGAGGCCTGGTGTGCTTGGCTCAAGAGTCTGTGGGCAGTGCGAGCCTATGCCTGAAAGCTTTGTGTGCCAAGCAGAAATGATGCAAACCTCTAAACAGCTCAGCCTCGGCATTCACCTGGCAACCAGCCCCTCCCTTGGGAGCACGAGGTTCACTTACTTGTTACTTCCTTCAGAGCAAGGTACATCAAAAGAAACAGCAAAGCAGGAACTGAGGACCAGAGGCAGCCTGACGGGGAGAAGAAAGAGCCCTGGAGGTGGGGGCAGGAGACCTGGGCTCTAGTTCTGGTCTGAAAACAAATTGCTACTCGACCACAGGCAGGTCCTGTTCTTAGCCTTAGTTTCTCCCTCTGTCAAATGGTCCTGACAAAAAGTAAGCACTTTTGTCAACACTTTAGCTATTCTGGACTGATTACCTTGAGCAAGTCACTTCCCCTTCTCAGAGCCTCAGTTTCCCTATCTGTAAAATGAGGCTGGCCAGCTCCCTGGGTTATTGTGGAGAGGGCAGTTGATAAATTGTAAAGCATTATACACATGGGAGTCATTGTAATCCCTGCCCTGTGCTTTTCAGGGATGTTTTATTGATGGAGAGCAGATGGAGAAGACTTTCTTCTCTGCATTACCAAAGAATTTCTCACCTAGTGGCCCAACCTACTGGTAATGAGGCTTTTCTTACTCCTCTTCGAATGTGAGCTCCTTGTGTCTTCAGGATCAGACCAGAATCCTTCTCACCCTGGCAGTACTTTCCAGAGGTGGCACTCTGCTGGCAGATCTTTTAAGAGTCTCAGTGTCTCCATTTGTCAAACAAAGGGGGTTAGACTCAGTGACATCTGAGGACCTTTGCCATTCTATTGTGCCATGATTCTATGCTCCAAGTCAAGATGAAGCCAGCCTAGGGTTCAAACAGTGCCAGCTGGCCATAGCAAAGGGCATGGAAGAATGCTCTCCCAATGACTCTTCTTCAGCTGGCCGTCAAACAGTTAATGGCTGGTGGGCACAGGCCTGGGCACCCCACCCCTGATTCACAGCAGCATCTCCATTCTCCAGATGAGGTTCTGCCCTTTCAAGGTGCCAGCTGGAACCAACCCAGCTTAGCCAGAGCTTCTTCTGCCCAAGGTGAGGTTGTTGCTGCCTTAGAAAGAGGCCCCTCAATACAGAAAGGGGGGAGCATGTACCCACGGTAATATGCACCAGGGCCTGTATCATATAGCAAGGGATCCCAGCCACTATGGGGTACTCACCCTGATGAGTTCTAGGTTGCAGATTATGTCCGCAAAATAGAGGTAGTGACTCGCCTAAGGTCACATGGCCAGTAACTAGGAGATCTGGGATTCAAACCCAGATGTTCTGATTCCAGGTTCCAGGTTCTTTCTGTTTCACCTTCACCATGACAGGACCAGGTTGGATTAGACTAAGGACCCATCCAGCTCTACAAGTATGTGATTGAGGAGAAAGTGGGGTGGAGTAGAGCACATCGTTTCTTTGCAAATTCCTCTGTTGTCCTCCTCAGATCCCACTGCTAAGCTGCTGGTCCTGCCCTCTGGAATCAAGGAGAGCAAGTCACATGACAACCCTTCAGATTCTTGAAGACAACTATCCTTTCCCCCCTGAGAGTCTTCTGGCTTCTTTAGCTGATGCCCCTATCACATGGATTCAAGGCAAGCCTTTCCCATCCAGGCTGCTCTTGTACTGTTCTGAACTCGGAAGAAGAAGACAGCAGTGCGGCCTAATGATCCGCGTAGGTTTCACAGAGCTGATGATACTCGGGCTGAATCTTGAAGGACTTGCCTTCTCAAGAAGGCTGTGGTCTCCTCTGGGAGGGGACCTGATTCTTCTCTTACGTTCCTTACAAAGCGGCTCTCCTAGGAGGCACGTGATAAACGCTTTTTCTTAATGGAGGCATATTCAAATATTCATTGAAGGCAAAGGTTTTTCATGGCAGTCTTTGAGGCTGGACTTGTTTTTGCCTTTCTTTGTGCCACCAACACTTAGAAAACTGATACATAGTAGGCACTTACTGAATGCTTGTTTACTGATTAGCAATCCAATAAGAACTGTTTTAAGCTCCTACTGTATTCGAAGAACTGAGTTAGATACCAGGATCAACACAAAACACTCCCGTCCTTAAGTCCACTGAGGATAGCTACTTCTTGATTTGAGTGTTCTGAAATTCTCAGGGGACTGAACACCCAAGAATCTTTAGTACTAGCCGGGTGACCCCTAGGCTTCTCTGTCCCTGCTGGGATCCTTTGAGGTACAATGGTTTGGGGATGGTCCAAGGTCTACGTTGGAGGATAGTGAAACTCACACTAAGGAAGAGATCTTGGCTTGTACACCTCTGAGGACCCACTGGGCTTAACAGCCTCTAGCCCACAGATCAGACAGGCAGCTGAAATTTTGTGGAGGCCCTGCCTGGGGAACATCCACCATCCACTATCCTCAGGCTCCAAGGAGGAGAAGGATCCTCAATAGATCCTAACCCTGGAGGATAGTGCCTGGAGATCCTCAGATTACAGCAGCCAAGCATGAGAGTTGTCACTAGGAGGTAATAATGAAGATGAGAGGGTATGGGCTCGGCCTGCCCCATGCTGGCACACTGGGCAACTGTGGGCAAGGACCCAGACTCCCTAATGTGCCCTTGCTTTCCTGCAGCCTGCCCAGCTGTTGCCCTGGCAGACAAAGCCTCCTGGAATCTCTGTTAATGGGGGCAAGGAGGTGGGGAAAAGGAGAGACAAGCTGGGCCATACTGCTTGGACATCCCCATCTCTGTCAAAGACCCAGCCATTTTCCTAGTACCTAAGCCCGGTTTCATCCTATCAGTGACAAGATCCTGTGAGCTCATCCTTTCCAATGTCTTTCTCCCACTTCTCTTCCCATGGACTTGTTCCCTACCTTCTTATTAAGAGTGTCTTTAGAAATAATCTATTCTTAAAGTATAGTTCAGGGACTCCTGAGGGTTCCCAAGACCCCTTAAGGCAGGATCTGCAAGGTCAAAACTATTTTCCTAACAATACTAAGACATTTATATTTCTTAATATCTAATATCAATCAACATGACCAACATAAACAAAAGTTCTTTGAGAGGGTCCTTAATAATTTTTAAAGGGTTCTTGAAAGCAAAAAGTTTGAGGACTGCTGATTTAGTCCATTTTCTACCCCTGACTTTTCTATGTGTATAAAACAGTGCAGAAGGGACACTAATTGCCCAGAATCTCATAGGTTCTAAATAGGAGACCTTGAACTTGAGACTAGATTCTCTGACTCTAAATTCCAGCTCTCTTTCCACTATTCCTCCCCCCCATCCCAATCCCCACCCCCACCTCCATCTGTGGCTCTTCTCAGGCTCCAAGGAGAAGGAAGAGAGCAGAGATGGCTTATGCTATGTTTCCGTCTTTTATTTGCCTGTTTCCTACATGGCCTGCCAAGCACTGGGGTTTCTAGGCTCCCCATTGTGGGAGTGCCTTCCCTCCCCCAGCTCAAGGGGTCTAAAGGGCAGTCACTGATAGGGAGCTGGAAGCGACCCAAGAGGCCATCTCACCCAACACCTTGATTTTAAGGTAAAGAAACTGAATACCAAGAGAAATTGAGTTGCCCAAGGCCATACAGGTTGCAAATGGCAAAATCTAGATTCGAACCCAGGGCCTCTGACTCCAAACCCAGTGCTCTTTACCACCTCTCAGAATGAATTGTTCTCACAGAATTACAGAACTTGACAACTAGAAGGGAATTTGGAGGACATTTCATCCAGCCCAAATCTGAGCAGCCTCTCTGCAGCCTACCAAACAAGAGATTAACCCAACTGTGACATTAGCTCCTCAGCCCTCCTCAGTCCCCACCACCATACCAGCCTCTCACCTTTGCACGCCCAGCAGCTGAAGGCCTCAGCAAGGCACAGGTGTCCCCTGATCCGGGCAGCTGCTTATGGGTTGATGGGGGTAGGGAAAGAGGAGGGGAACAGATAAAGGGAGGAAGAGGCACTGGTATGGGGAGGAAGGGCAGGATATTCTTCAGTCACTGGGGATCCTGCACCAGGAAATCCTGCCCTAATATTTATCCTTATCTAAGCCCTTTGTCTCTATGTGGTGGAAAGCGCACTGGGATGGCAGTCGGGAGAATTGGGGTCTAGCATTGGCCCCTTCAGTAACTTTGCTAGAGGACCTTGGACAAGTCCCTCTTTTTTCTAAAATTCTCCATCTATAAAATGAGGGGGTTGGATGAGGTAATCTTTCAATTCTCTTCCAGCTTAGAGAGTCTAGGTTCTGCTTTCTAAGGGCCTGCCCTACTCTGACTTTCTGTGTAGTCAGGACCTTCCCAGCTCTGCCATCCTGTGTTCTAAAGACCCTCCCAGCTCTGATAAAGGGTCTAGAGTTAAAAGGAACCTCAGGGACCATCAGTAGTTTTACAAATGAGGAATCTGAGGCTCATGAGAGGGAAGTGATTTGTCCCAGGGCTACACAGCTAGTCATTATCTAAGGTAATATTTGAACTCAGGTCTTCCTGACTCCAAGACTAGCTCTCTGTCCACTACACTAGCCACTGTCCCACTTCTCTGCCTCATGTTCTGTGTTCCCATGGCTGTTCTGGCTCTCACAGTCTATGTTCTAAGGGCCTTTTCAGTTCTGGTGTTTTATAAATCTATAAAGCTTGGGGCTCATGATTACTCTTTATTTTTGTTTTTGTTTTATACTTTTTCCTGGGAATAGGAGCCCAAATCCTGTAGGACTAAGAAAGCCTTGGGTGACCAGCTGTTTGTCACCTTCACTGGGATAACAGAAAGTTGCCTAAAGCTGCAAGAGATACTTAGGTCAGACATGTGAAGGAATTTCCAGACCAGAATGGGTGACAGGGGAACTTTTATTAGTATTAGCTCCTACCTAGAAGTCTGGGAGTAAGTGGGACAGATTTCTTGGATTTCAAAAGGTACAGAAGAAATAAAAGGGTTTTGTGTGTGTGTGTGTGTGTGTGTGTGTGTGTGTGTGTGTGTGTGAATAGAATTGTATAGTAAGAAGGTAAACTCCTATGAAGAAATCTAGGAAGCATGGTAAAGAGATTTTGGGTGAAGATCATTGGAAGGAGAAAGAGGACAATATTGTCATGGAATCCTACTTTAGACCAGTTGGACAGGAGGAGTTAGAGAAATAGAAGCCTGGGCATGAGCTACTACTAGTCAGACAATTGATATTTATTAAGCACTTGCAACGTACCAGGCACTGCTAAACATTAGGGATATAAAAAGGCAAAAACAAACAAACAACCCAGTCCCTGCTCTCAAGGAGCTCACAGTCTAATGGGAGAGACAATAAGCAAACACTTGGGTACAAATATGCTATGTAATGGATAAATTGGAAATAATCAATAGACGGAAGGCACTAGATTTAAGAGGGACCATCAGGAAAGGCTTCTTGTAGAAGGTAGGATTTTAGCTGACTCTTGAGAAAGCAACCAGGGAAGCCAGAAGATGGAGATGAGGAGGAAGAACATTCCAGGCATGGGGGACAGTCAGTGAAAAATGCCTGGAATCAGGAGCTAGAGTGTTCTTGTTCAAGCAACAGCCGGGAGGCCAGTCAGGGTAATTGGATCACAGGGTACTTAGGTCTGACCACATCACTCAGTAAACTCCAGTGGTTCCCTGTTACTTCTAGGCCCAAACACACATTCTTCTGGTTGGCATTTAAAGCCCTTTACCACCCACTTTTCCAGGCTTATTGTACATTTCCCCCTTCACGTACTCTATGGTTTAGCCAAAGTACGGTAGACTTCTTCAAATTCCTCATACACAACACTCCATCTCCTGTTTCCAAGTTTTTACACAAAATGTCTCTCATATCTTTTTTTTAGGGGAAAATTGACTTTAAGAAATTATAATCGAGGGCAAAGGAGATAGGATTACAACCAAGAATCACCTACCCAGCAAAACTGAGTATAATCCTTCAGGGGAAAAAATGGTTATTCAGTGAAATAGAGGACTTTCAAGCATTCCTGATGAAAAGACCAGAGCTAAACAGAAAATCTGACTTTCAAATACAGGACTCCAGTGGAACATGAAGAGGTAAACAGGAAAGAGAAATCATAAGAGACTTATTAAGATTGAACTGTTTACACTCCTGCATGGAAAGATGATATTTGTAACTCATGAGAACTTTGTCAGTATTAGGGTAGTTGAAGGGAAAAAACTGTATATATGTATAGATAGATAGAGGGCACAGGGTGAGTTGAAGATTAAGGGGTCATATCTGGAGAATAAAATTAAGGGATGAGAGAGGATGATACTCGGAGAAGAAGAAAGGGAGAGGTAGAATGGGGTAAATTATCTCACAAAAAAAAACAGAAAAGAAGTCTCTCACAGTGGAGGGGAAACAGGGGAAGGTGAGAGGGAATGAGGGAATCTTATTCTCATAGGATTTGGCTTAAGGAGAGAATAACATACACATTCAATTGGGTATGGAAATCTGTCTTACCCTACAGGAAAATAGGGGGAGAAGGGGACAAGAGAGCAGGGGGTGATAGAGAGGAGGGCAGATTGGGAAAGAGGGTAATCAGAAGCAAATACTTCTGAGGAGGGACAGGCTCAAAAGAAAGAATAGAATAAATGGGAGGGCAGGATAGGATTAAGGGAAATAGAGTTAGTTTTTCACAACATGTCTACTAAGGAAGTGTTTTGCATAACTGCACATGTACAACCTATATTGAGTTGCTTGCCTTTTCAATGAGGGTGGGTGGGGAGGGAGGAAGGGAGAAAATTTGGAACTCAAAGTTTTAAAAACACATGTTTTAAAAAAAAATGTTTTCACATGCAACTGGGAAATAAGAAATACAGGAAATGGGGTACAGAAGCTTATCCTGCTCTATAGGAAAATACATGGGGAAGGGGATAAGAGAAGGGAGGGGGGAGAGATAGAAGAGAAGGCAGACCAGGGGAAGGGGTATTCAGAATGCATGCCATCTTGGGGTGGGGGGAGGGGTGAGAAATTTGGAACTCAAAAACTTGTGGAAGTGAATATTGAAAACTAAACTAAAAATAAATAAATTTATATTTTAAAAATTATAATCATTCTCTTTTCTGTTTGTACATATT